GCGCTGCAGTGATCTGAAGCCGGGAGCCGGGTGCTTCCTCCCAGACCCCCCCATGTGGGTGCAGAGCCCAAGTACTTGGGCCATCCTCCACTGCCTTCCCAGGCCGCAGCAGAGAGCTGGACTGGAAGAGGAGCAAGCAGGACTAGTACCCGGCACCCCAACCAGGACTAGAACCCGGGGTGCCGGCACTGCAGGCAGATTAGTCAAGTCAGCCACAGCACCATCCAAGACATCTAGTTTCCTATTGAATCAGACCAGTCAGAGTACTCTCTGCCCACTGTTATCTTTATCTGGTCAAAGATGTTAGAGGAATGTTTTTGAATTCCCCATTTCATATGATATTGGCTGTGGGTTTGTCATGTATGGGTTTATTAAGTTGAGAAATTTTTTCCATATGCATGTGTTCATGATTTTAATCATGACTGGATTTTATATTTTATGAATCCTGAAAGCTTTGTGGGGAAAATGTGCTAATAATCTAATCGGGGTTTCCCTTAAAAGGGACCACTTGCTTTTCTGATTCAATTCTGTTTCTTCTTTGTGTTGTTCTTTTGAGTACAAATATAAGGTGACAGAAATTTCTCTGGTAACTTCTCATACACTTTTGGGGCCTTCTATACATCAGTGTCCGTATATTTCTCCAGCATGGGGAAGTTTTCAGCTATTACCTCCCTGTCCTGGTTCTTCTTCTCTCCCTCAGCGACTGTGGAAATTTGAATACTTGGTTATGTTGTGTTCCCCTGGTCTCAGGAGGCCATCTTTTTGGTTCCTTTTGTCTGACTGGTATATTTAAAAAGGCTCTTCTTTGAGTTCAGGTATTCTTTGTTTTGCTCAGTATAGTCTGTTGTCGATATTGGTAACTTATTTCACTTAATCACTTCATGTTTTGCTAAGATTTTTCTTCAGTTCTTGTTCAAGGTCTCTGTCTCTGTTGAAGTTTTCATTCATTGATGTCATTCATCACTTGCATAACATTCAGGTAACTGTCCATATTCTCTTGTGTCTCTCTGAGTATCCTCATGAAGCCCGTCTTTTGAATTCTTTATCTGGCATTTTATGCACCACCTTCTTTGTGGTCAGCCACTATAGTGTTGTTATATTCTTTTTGGTAGCATATTGTTTAATTTTCACTCTTCTGTCCCTATGTTGATTGTTACACATCTGGTAGATCAGTTTTTTTGTATCATTTTTAAGGGATGGTTTTCAAGGATTGAAAGATTTTTCCTGAATGTCTGTCTTTAGGTATTGACTTTGTAGCATGTTTTGTCTCTGTTTCAAGTTAAAAATCATAATGGCCTCTCCCTATAGCTTATTTTTGCTGTGGTTCACTCCAGTAGCATCAAGGGTGTGGGTATTTCTGGGGTCCATTGGAGTTGCTTGGCCCCGTGGTATGGAGTCCCTCAGCCACCACTAGAGTAAGGGAACAGAGATGCAGAAATGACATTCTTTCTGGAAGCACACCTGGCTGGCTCTGTGAATGGGCCCAGTGATGGCTCACCACCCATCACCCAAATGTGATACAAGAAATGCTAGAGATCACTGGTTCTGGGAGCAGGCCAAGCTGATGCTCGGACAGCCTGGTTATGTGGCCTGAGCCATTGCCTGATGGGCCAGAGCCCCAGGAGTAGCAGTGAAGCCCATTAGATGGGGCAAGCAGACCCCTAGTCACTGCCAGAGGGTGGGGCTGGAGCTGCTGTATTGTATTTGATGCTGGGATTTGCAGGCCACAGGACCTCCAGAGGGGCAGAAGTGACAGGAGTAGTGCTGGTGCTGGGCGCTGATGATTTTTCTACTCTTAAAGAGAACCTGTTTATGTTTCTTGTGGTAAAATTCCGCAACTGTTTCCAAAACTCCACCTTGACCCCAATTTAAGAAGCCGAGAGACTTACAGAGAATGACTAATAACTGTTCACTTCCACTGAACTATGATCCACTGGGTGATTCCAACTATGCCAGAAATGGAAGCTGGGAGCTAAATCCAGGTCTCCCACTTGCATGGCAGTAATAGATCTCTGTGATTCGTCATCTGCTGACTCCCAGGGTCTTCGTTGGCAGAAAGCTGGATTCAAACTGAAGCACTGCATTGTGGGTGTCTCAATGGGTTTTCCAACTACAAGGCAAAATGCCCACACACAAAAATGTTTTTAACTGTCAAGGCAGGTCACCTCCAGCCTCCAGCAGTTGGACAGTTACCATGGAAGTGTCCTTACCATTTGCTGCATTCAGCAGCTTCTCTCTTCCTGGTAAGCTGGTATTTCTTGTAGTGGCGTATATTTCTCATGTTCAGGGACGCTGTTTTCCTTATGACCTCAATTCTTGGGCTAATCTAAGAAGAGAATTGGTGTTTAGTATGTTGTACTATTTTCTTGTCTTTACAAGTGACTATTCCGTTATTTACATTTTGGAGCAGAAATTTGAAATTTCCTTTGAAATTACTTAAAAGAATAATTACCAATTAACAGATCTACCACTCCTTGGTGTTAGTAGATTCATATAATTGTGCAACCATCACTAGCGTTCTGTTGTAGAAATTTTTTAATGCCTTCCAAAGACCAGGGAATCCTCTTTGTAGTCATTCATTTCCCATTCATTGATCACCATGCCTGTAATTGAAACGAACAAAAATCTGGAAAACAGGTATCATCAAATTTGAATCATTAAATTTGAATTTTATTAGATTATGCCTTCATCCAGTCGATCATTACCCTACTTTTGAGATAACCAGTGGAGAGATCTCATTATATCTATTTGGAATAATTTAAGGAAACAAGCCATCTAATAGAGCAGAACAGAAAAACCTAAAGGAGAATGGTGGAGTAAAGTCATAGTGAATGTGTTTTCTTAAGTAGTATTTAGTGTGTTCCTTAGTCTCAGCCTGTCAGAGAGTGGTTGAAAATCAGCTGAGTATTAATAATAGGACACTCTGAGCTCTGATAAAAGAGTAGTCCCATCTCATATATTTGAACAGTGGAAGTAGCTATGTTTGATCTAAAGTAGCCTGAAATAGATAGTAGATTCTGGGTGATGAGTTACATTCTTGGGACAGGCAGCCTTGAGGAAGGGCTCTGCTGCCCTTGAACCCTCTGCGGTGCTGGGCCCTCCACTGCTCTAGGGGGCTCCCTGCATCCTGCCAGCCCCACTTGGGCTTCCTGTGACCTGCACTGCTCTGGGGGGCTCCCTGTGCCCTTCCAGCCCCCCTTGTGCTCCCTGCACCCTGCATAGCTCTGGAGGGCTCCCTACGCCCTGACAGCCCCCTCGGGCTCCCTGCACCCTGCACTGCTGTGGGGGGCTCCCTGCACCCTGCATAGCTCTGGGGAGCTCCCTGCATCCTGCCAGCCCCCTCATGCTCCCTGTACCCTGCACTGCTCTGGGGGGCTCCCTGCTGGCCTCCCCAGGCTCACTGCACTGCTCTGCGGGGGGGCTCCCTGTTCTGCTGACCCCATAGCACCTCCCTGCTCCACCTGCCCACTGATGCCGCAGCACAGAAGCAGAGCAACGGACCTTCCGCCCGCTGGTGCCCTCCCCGGATGTGTGTGGAGCTGGGCCAGGCTGGAGCCAGGGGCTCGTCTGAGTCTCCTGCGTGACCATGCCTGGGAGCACCCCAGGTGCATTAGCAGGAAGCTGCCTCAGAGCCGAGCAGCCGGGACTCAGGCCGGGCACGTGGGTGAGGGCGTCCGAGAGGCAGCCTCACCTGCTGTGTGCCGCGGTGCCTGCCCGGATCCCTTCCTGCCAACCGCTGTATGGGACTGACCTGTTTGGGTGGCTTTCTCGGTTGATATCCGTGGTACCGCAGAAGGACCTGGAAAGAAGTCAGGCTGTGGTGGAGTGGGCGGAGCCTCTGCCTGGAGTCCTGGCTGCATCCTCCCCCATCTGGCCTAGGAGCAGTGAGGAAGCGCCTGGCTCCTGGCTCTGGATCCACCCAGTTCTGGCCACCGTGGCCGTCTAGGGAGTGAAGCAGTGGATGGAAGATCTCTGTGTGTGTGTCTCTAACTCTGCCTCTCAATTTTAAATAAATAAAATATTGGAGCAGACACACTGGGCTGGGCCTCTGCCTGTGGTACAGGCATCCCATGTGGACGAGAGTTCGAGTTCTCGTTGCTCCACTTCCGATCCGGCTCTCTGCTGTGGCCCGGAGGGCAGTGGAAGCACCCGCGTGGGGGACCGGGAGGGAGCCCCTGGCTCCTGATCAACGCGGCTCTGGCCATTGCAGCCATTTGGGGGGTGAACCAGTGGATGGAAGGCCTCTCTGTCTGTCTTTCCCTTTCACTGTCTGTGACGCTACCTCTCAAATAAATAAAATCTTTAAAAATAAATAAATAATTAAATATTAACAAAAGCTTAAAAATGTAATTAATCTATCTGAAAGACATACTTTCAGCAGGGAGAAACGGAGGGAAGGGGAGAGAAGGGGATGGAGAGAGCAAGAGTGGGAACAACACCACTTTAATTTTGAAGATATCATAAATAGTTTCACAGTCTGCATTGCAAGAACTCAGGAGCCTGGAGGAGCGACAATAGGTCCGTTACCTTCCCCAGGAATCCTCCCTCAGGAGGAAGACAGGATCTGAGTGAGGCTGAGGCTGTAACCTGCTGTTCTATGGGGCAGGAAGCCTGGCTTGTTTGTGCAGCATCTCCAGTAACATTGTTTCTATTCTCTCCATGTGTGCTCTGAGTGTTTCACCTTCAGCAGACAAACAGAGCAGCAGGCTGATGGTGGGCAGCACCACCAGAACTCAGTTTGCAAATGCTCAATTCCTCTAAAGGGACACCTTTATGCCTCTATTTTTGTTTTTGAACATACAAGTACATATGTGTGTGAGTGAACGTATACATGAGTGAGGGAGCCACAATCTGTTCAAGCCATGGCAGAGCTTGGAAATCATTTGGGACAGTGAGCTGAGCCTGCCTGGGCTAAGATGAGCAGTTGACTCCTCTTACTGGACATCTTTAATGGACAGGAACCAAGAGGAAATGAAAAAGGGGGTGGGAATGGGGGTGGAAATAGAGACTTCCGGGAGGATCAGTGCTTCTATACGTGTATTGAAACAATAGAAAACGCCTGAAGAGGACTGTGCTAATTTATCAAATCCTAAATACCGATCTCTACCACCAACTTAAGCCAAAAGCTTTTGGGGTCCTTTCTCTTTAACCAAGTAGAAAGTTTCTTGAGAAAACCAGCCTGGTGTGTCCCCAGCTGTGATTGGTCTAGAGCCTCCTCTGCCCTCAGGGGGGCCATTGTGATGTCATTCCAACTGCCTTAACAGTTCCCTGCTTGGGCTCGGTTCTGGTCAGTTGGCCCAGGAAGCTCTGTGGAGACTGCCTGAAGGATTGGACGACATCACTGGTTTTCCCTTGTCCTGTCATTTGTGGTGTTGTTTTGTGTCGTCTATTAGTTCTCTTTACTGTAGTGAATCTTTCAGTTTTTTTGTGTGTTTTTGCTATTTTTTCAATTTCTCTCCCCCTCCCATTTTTACATTGTGTGCTTGTGTATTTTCTTTAAATATTTATTTATTAATTTTTTCTTTTTCTTTCACAGGCTAAATGTACTTGATGCTGTGTTCATTTGTCCTTCTTGTGTTTCCTCCGTTTTCTGACTATTTTCTCATTTTTTTAATCCTTTGACTTAGATAAGACTGTTATAAGACTTATTGATTAGCATTGTTACCATAGTTACCATAGTTGGTGTTGCTTTCCTTCACCATTTTTAGTATTCTGTGTATTTTATAACTTTTAATTCTTAGTTTTGATAGTGTTAGTGATTAGTATACCATAGTTCATAGAGTTAGCATTCTCTAGTAGAAATATTAGCATATTGAGTTGTCAATTTTGGTTACCATTTAGCTTGTTTGATTTCTATTTGTTTCCCAGTTTTTGTTGTTACTTTAGGTGACTAGTAAGTGTTCCCAGTGTCAGAGTGCAGGGTGGGGGGTGGGGTGGGGATCCCACCATGGAAGGCCTCACCGCCTTCACCAGTGAGGAGGAGGTCCTGGATGGGTACCAGGTCCTCAGGGTCCTCGGCCAGGGCGGTTTTGGGCTGGTGATCCTGGCCTATCATTGGGAAAGCAGGACCCAGGTGGCTGTGAAGGTTGTGGAGAATGGTGGCCAGCACTCCTGCAGCTTCCAGCAGTTGTGCACAGAAGCAGAAATAATGAAGGGGCTGCATCACCCTCACATCATTCAACTACTGCAGGTCAGGCACACCACAGAGAGGGGCTACATTTTCATGGAAGTAGCGCAGTCAGGGGGGACCTTAGATGTTACATGGTAGAACGAGGGTACCTACTGGATGGAGAGATTCGTCAGCTATTTAAACAAATTCTATCCGCTGTGCATTACTGCCATTCGCAGCACGTGGTGCACAGGGATTTAAAGTTAGAAAACCTGCTTCTCGACGCCCACCTAAACATTAAGTTGAGCGATTTTGGTCTCAGCTGCAAACTGGCTGGTGGAGAGCGCCTGAAGAATCTGTGCGGGACCTTTGCATACTGTGCGCCCGAGGAATTCTTAGGTGAGGAGTTCTGCGGGTACAAGGCTGATGGCTGGAGTGTGGGCGTGATCCTGTACGCCATGGTGGCAGGCTCACTGCCTTTTGTTGGAGAGGATTTTGTGGAGCTGCGGGCAGCCATCCTGTCTGGATACTACAGAATCCCCCACTATGGAAACCCAGAGCTGTGTAACCTGGTGGACAGCTTACTGACCCGGGACCCTGAGGCCAGGCCCACAGTGGCAGACATCATGGGCCACCCATGGCTCCATGCAGGACATGGAGCACCTGGAACCAGTGACGAGTTTCTGTTTCTTCCACAGGAGCAGGAAGGATGGGAATTCCCATGGGGCCTCTGCCCTCCACTGTGGCTTCATGAATGGGATGACCCCTTGCCCCCTGTGCCATGCTGGGGGATCTCCCAACAGCAGGGCTTCAGCATCCCAGAAATACATGGGCAGGGCCAAGTGGAGCCTGCAGTACCTCCTCAGGGTCCTGAAGCTCTAAGCTCCCTTGAGGACCTGGGATGCCAGCTGGGCCATCAAGCAGGCTCCCTGCCACCCAGGCTCCCAGCCAGTGCCTTGTGCCCAGGACTTCAGCAGGATCACAGCAAAGGGAAGCCCATGCCTCAGGCCATCCCCGGTGCTCAGAGCTGTCCCATTCTCCAGTGCCTCCAGGGACACTCAGGCTGCAACACCAGAGCCCGTGAGTTTGCTGCTCTCAGCTCCCAACCACTGGTGCTTGCAGAAGGCCAGTCGGGGCAGACTCCTTGCCATGGGACTCCCAGTGTGAGCAGCAGTGAGTCCTGCAGGACAGACAGGTCCCAACGGGCTGTGTGGACAAGGAGCCCCGCTGCCTGTGCAGTCCTCAGCCAGGATGCTCTGTCCTCTCTCTCCACCACACTGAGCACCAACAGCAGTGAGGCTGATGTGGAAGTCAGGAGCGGCTCCCAGGGTGCCTCAGAGGAACAGAGCATCCCAGGAATGCAGCAGCAGGAGGAGGAGGCAGGGACCTCAGACACGCAGGCCAGAAAGGGCAAGGGTCGCCTGGGGATTGGCAGGAGGATCATCCAATGCTTCAGCTGGATGTGTTGTGTCCTGCCAGCCCCAGAGGAAAGCCCTTGAGTGCAGAGAGGAAAGTGGCCTCTTAGTAGCCTCTTGGGAAATGCCCCCGAGGAGGGGCCCTTCCCTGAGGAGTGAAGCAATGAAGGGATAGTCATGGACTCCTGTCTGGGATGAGGGCAGGTGAGGAGGCAGTAAGAGAAACTGCAGGCAGAGAGGGAAGATAGTGTTGCATTTTTCAGATGGCCATAAGGAAACATGTTTGCATGGTTAGGGGTCATGACCTTTTCCTAAGATAGAAGAACATGGTGTTCCATTTTGCTTAGAATTGATCCATGAACATCACTCCCTAGTTAAACTTCCTGTACCCAGTCATATTGGGCCCCTCCCTTAGTCCCCCTTCTGGCTGGCAGGGGTGTCATTTTCTCACAAAAACCTACTTTTGCTTTTTCTCCCTCACCCTCATGATCCGTGTTGGGATTATGTGAGAGAACGAATGGACTTGAACTTCCTGCAGCATCGTTGGTGCCGTGACGTGGATGGACTCAGCTCCATGGGAAAGGTGAGTAAGGCAGACTGCTTCTCTGGTGTTTGGAAAACCCCTGATCTTCTACATACTCATTTATCTTTTAGATTCCCCAGGTCCCTGAGCCAGTTCAAAGCGATTGGTGTGGGATGCTGGTTGTAAGATACAGGGCCCACGTTGGATGACACTCTTTGTCCTCCTCCCACTTTATTCTGTCTTTGATTATTGCCTGCACTCTGTGCTCAGGCGGCTCTCTGCCCTGGGAAGTCTTCTCACCCTGAGTTTCCTTCTCCAAGCCCAAGTTCCCAGGTCCCTGGATGAGAAACTCCTGTGACAACTTAGAGCTCCTAGATCTGAACTGAGGAGCCTGCATTGCAGACCGAGGTGGCCTCTCCCATTGAGCTGCCTTCTTGTGTGCCCCAAAGAACTCAGGACCCACATGTCTGGGAAGAAGTCACCTGGCACCTTAACTCGTGCCCATGCTTTCCGTTTTCCTGCCCAGGCTTTTCTTTGGCAAACAACATGTTGGAAGTCATTCCTGCCCAGAGCCATGCTCTTAAAGGTGACTCACAGGGGAAATTTCTATCGTCATGCGACACCCACGTTCCCCCTCTGCACATTCAACAGTCCTGCAGCAAGGACCACTTGCCCACCCTCCACACTTGGGCAACAAGAGAGTTAGTTGAGACCCCCTTTGTAGAGCCTCATTTCCAAGTTCAGACATAATGCAGGGACAGCAGGAGTGACAGAGGACTGAGGCAATGACTGCTAGGGACTGCGGGAACCCCAAAGACTCAGCGACTTCTGGGAGAATGGAAGGTCCTAAAACTCGGCTGCTGGGGGGGGCGACGAAGGAGGAGGCAGCTGCTAGGGTCCACGTGGTGACCTAGTGATGCAGTGGCAGTGGGAGTGCCCAGGGAAGGAGCTGGTGGGGCCTGGGGACCGTGTGGTGGGGCCTGGGGGCTGCACAGAGGGCTCAGATAATCACAGGGGAGCCCAAGAAGAAGTAGGAAGAATCCTCACGCAATCATAGGGAGGCTGCTGAGGACCGTGCTGGGGGCCCCATGATGGGTGGCTCCTGGTGGCTGCACCCCAGTGCCCCAGCACAAAGACGTGGCTTCACTGGGTGTGCCTGAGGAAGCAGGAGGCAGCCAAGGCAGGCCATGAAGTGGTAGGTGCTGGGGAACTGTGTGGGGTGCCCAATGCTGCTCCTGGAGGGGGAAGAGGAGAGCAGGGCCTGGCCCTGGAGATTGAGGAGGAGAGTAGGGTCTGGCCCTGGTGGGTGAGGAGGGGAACAGGGTCCAGCCCTGGAGGGCAGCGAGTGGAGCTGGGCCCAGGCTCTGGTTTCACGGTGGGGAGCAGGATCCAGGCTTGGAAGGTGACGAGCAGAGTGGGCCCAGGCCCTGGAATGCGAGGAGCAGAGCAGGGCCTGCCCAGGAGGTGAGGAGGGTAGTGGGGCCTGGCCCTGGAGGGAAGCCCTGAAGTGGGGCCCAGGCCCTGGAGTGTGAAGGTTGGAGTGGGGCCCAGGTTCTGCAGGGCAAGGAGAGGTGCGGGACCCAGGCCCTGGAAGGCCAGGAGCAGAATAGGGCCTGGCCCTGAAGGTGAGGAGGGAAGTGGGGTCTGGCCCTGGAGGGAGGCTAGGGATGGGCCTGTGGGGAGAAAGGCCTGGCTCTGGAGGGGGAGGAGGGGAGCAGGCCCAGACCAAGGGTGTGAGGAGGCTTTCGGTGCCAGCACTGGAGTATAAGGAGGGGAACACTGGCCCTGGAGGTGAGGAGGGGAACAGGGTCTGGCCCTGGAGTGAGGCCAGGGATGGACCTGAGGGGAGCAGGGCGTGGCTCTGTAGGGGAGGAGGGGAGCAGGGTCTGGACTTGGAGGGTGTTGAGGTTAGTGGGGCCCAGCCCTGGAGGACATGGAGAGGAGTTGGGCCAGGCCTGGTGGCTGGCTAGTGCCGTGCCCGAGGGGAGCAGGGCCCAGCTCTGTAGGGCATGAGAGGAGCAGCGGCCCAGCCCTGGAGGGTGGCCAGGGCTGGGCCTGAGAGGCAAAGGGTCCAACCCTGCAGGGTGAGGAGGGGAGCGGGGCCCAGCCCTGGAATGTGGTGAGGGGAGCGGGGCCTGGCCCTGAAGGACAGCAATGGGAGCTGGGCCCAGGCACTGGTGGGCAACTAGGGGAGTGGGGCCCAGGCCCTGGAGGACAAGGAGAGTGGGGCAGCTCTGCTGGGTGTCTAGTGCCACACCTGAGGGGAGCAGGGCCTGGCTCTGTAGGGCATGGAGAAGAGAAGGAGCCCAGCCCTAGAGGGTGGCCAGGGCCCTGCCTGAGGGGATCATGGCCCTGGAGGGCAAGGAGGAGGGAGGGGTTTGTCACTGGAGCATGGCCAGGGCCCTGCCCGTGCCCTGGAGCCTATGTCCTGTTGCCTGTGACCTGTGTCCTGAAGTCTGTCCTGTGTCCTTAGCCTGAGTCCTTTCTCCTGTGTTCTAAGTTGTGTAGCCTGTATCTTGTAGCCTGTGTGTTGTGTTGTAGGCCTGTGTCCTGTGGCCTCTGCCCTGTGTCCTGTATCCTGTGTCCTATGTTCTGCAGCCTGTGTCCTGTAGCCTGTGTCCTCTGTCCTATGTCCTGTGGCTGGTGTGCTGTGTCCTGTGGCCTCTGTCTTTTTTCCTGTAGCCTGTGACCTATAGTTTGTCCTATAGAGTGTAGCCTGTGTGCTGTAGCTTGTGTCCTCTATCCTGTGTCCTGTGTCCATTAGCCTGTTCATGTGGCCTGTGTCCTTGTCCTGCAGCCAGTGTCCCATTGCCTGTGTCCTATAGCATGTGTCCTGTACCCCGTGTCCTGTGTCCTGTAATCCGTGTCCTGTGTCCTCTGGCCTGTTTCTTTCTGCATGTGTCCTGTGGCCTATGACCTGTGTCCAGTGTCCTGCTGCCTCTGTCCTCTAGCCGGTGTCCTGTGCCTTGTTCCCTCTCTCCTTTAGCCTGTGTCCTGTAGCCTGTGTCTTGTGTCCTGTAACTTGTTTCCTGTGGCCTATGTCCTGTGTCTTGTGTCCTGTAGCCTGTGTCTTCTGTCCTGTGTTCTGTATCCTGTATCATGTGGGCTATGTCCTGTGTTCTGTAGCCTGTGGCCCTTGTCGTGTTTCTTGTTTCCTGTAGCCTGTGTCTTATGTCCTGTGTTGTGTGTCCTGTAGCCTGTGTATTATGTCTGATAGTCTGTTTCCTTTGTCCTTTGTCCTATAGGCTATGTCCTATCCTCTGTGTCCTATGGCTTGTATCCTGTGTTCTGTGTCCTGTAGCTGTGTCGTGTGTTCCATATTCTGCATCCTGTAGCCTCGGGCCTGTGTCGCGTGTCCTATGTTGTATAGCCTGTGTCCAGTGTCTTGTAGCCCCAGGCCTATGTATGCAACCTGTGTCCTGTGGCCTCTGTCCTCTAGCTGGTGTCCTATGTCCCCTAGCCTGTGTTCTGTGTATTGAGCCTGTGTCCTGTGTCCTGTATCCTGAGCCTGTGTCGAGTGTCCTGTCGTCTGTGTCCTGTGTCCTGAGCCTGTGGCCTGTGTCCTATAGCCTGTGGCCTGTAGTCTTTGTCCTAGAGCTGGTTTCTCTTTGTAGTAGCCTGTGTCCTGTGTACTGAAGCTGCTTTCTTGTAGCCTGTGGACCATGTCCTGTGGCCTGTGCCCTATGCTCTGGATTCTATGTCCAGTAGCCTGATGCCTGTGACCTGTGGCCTCTGTCTTGTGTTGTGTAGCCTGTGTCCTGTAGTCCGTGGCCTATGTCCTGTAGCTGTAGCCTTTGTCCTGTGGCCGGTGTGCTGTATGCTGTGGTGCAGGATATTGGACACAGGCTACAGAACACAGGTTACAGGACCCAGGACAGAGGCCACAGGCTACAGGATTCAGGGCATAGGCCAGAGAACACAGAATATAGGACAAAGAATACAGAACCCAGGAGACAGGCTAGAATACAGGCTACAGGACCTAGGTTGCACGCTACAGAACACAGGATCCATGATAAAACCACAGGATACAGGACATAGGAAACAGGCTACAGGGCACAGAACAGAGAGGCTACAGGCCACAGGCTCGGGACACAGGACACAGGACACCAGCTATAGGACAGAGGCCACAGAACACAGGATGCATACATAGGCCTGGGGCTACAGGACATAGGACACAGGCTACACACCATAGAACACAGGATACAGGATACAGGACATAGACAAATGGACATAGACCACAGACTACAAGACAAAGATAAATGCCACAGAACAGAGGCCACAGACTACATGACACAGGACACAGGCTAGACCACACAGTGGGAGGGAACCACTCAGGACACAGGCTAGACCACATGGGGAGGGAACCACTCAGGACACAGGCCAGAACACAGGCTATGGAACAAGGTTATAGGCTATAGGCCACAGGATATAGAACACAGCATACAAGACATAGGACACAGGACACATACACAGGACAGAGGCAAAAGGACAAGGACACAGCAACATCACACAAGATACGGGACATAGGCTATAGGAAAAAGGACAAAGGAAATAAACTACCAGACACAATACACAGGCTACAGGACCCAGAACACAGGACATAAGACACAGGATACAGGACTCAAGACACAGGACATAGGCCACAGGTTACAGGACACAGGACATAGCCCAGATGACACAGGATATAGGACACAGAATACTGAACAAAGGACACAGGCTATGGGACACAGGTTAAAGGCTACAGGACACGAGCCAAAGGCTACAGGACACAGGTTACAGGCTATACAACATAGGACACAGGTCACAGGACAGAGGCTCAGGACAGAGGCTATGGGACACAGGACAGAGCTACAGAACACAGGATACAGGCCACAGGCTACACGACACAGGACACAGGCTACACAACACAGGCTGAAGGAAAGAGGGAACAAGACTCCAGACACTGGCTATAGGATAGAGTGTCCTGTAGCCTGTGTCCTGTAGCCACTGTCCTGTGGCCTGTGGCCTGTGTCCTAGATTGTGGAGCCTGTGTCCTGTCTCCTGTAGCCTCTGTCCTGTATCCTGTAGCTTGTCGCCAATGTCCTGTGTCCTACAACCTGTGTCCCGTAGCCTGTGTCCTCTAGGCTGTGTCCTGGGTTCCATATTCTGTGTCGTATATCCTGTGTCCTGTGTCGTCTGGGCTATGTCCTGTGTCCTGTAGCCTGTGGCCTCTATCCTGTAGCCTGTGGCCTCTGTCCTGTGACTTAAGTCACAGACTACCGGACACAATACAGGCTACAAGACCCAGAACACAGGACGTAAGACACAGGCTACAGGACTCAAGACACAGGACATAGGCCACAAGACACAGGCTACAGCACAGAGGCCACAGGCTACAGGACACAGGACATAGCACAGACACAGGACATAGGACACAGAATATCGAACACAGGACACAGGCTACAAGACACAGGTTACATGCTACAGGATATAGTACACAGGCTACAGGACATAGGCCACAGGCTACAGTACACAGGACATAGCCCAGACGACACAGGACAAAGATATAGGACACAGAATTTTGAACACAGGACACAGGCTATGGGATTCAGGTTACAGGCTCCAGGATATAGTCCACAGGCTACAGGACACAGGTTACAGGATACAGGACACAGGACAAAGGTTAAACAACATAGGACACAGGGACAGGCTGCAGGACTCAGGATACAGGACACAGGACCCAGGCTACAGGACACAGGAGAAAGGCTAAAGGACGAGGACACTGGCTACAGGTCACAGGACACAGCCACAGTATACATCACACTGGGCACAGGACAAAGGCCACAGCTGCAGGATATAGGACATAGACTACAGAACCCAGGACACAGGGTTGAGGACATGAACACAGGCTGCAGCACACCGGCGACAGGACACAGGCTACACAAGATAGAACACAAGCTACAGCATTCAGGGCATAGGCCAGAGGGATACAGGACACAGGATACAGGACACAGAGCACAGAACCCAGGACACAGGGTAGAACACAGGCTACGGGACATAGGTTACACACTATAGGCCACAGGATTTAGAACTCAGGATACAAGACATAGGACACAGGACACAGGAGGCAGGACAGAGGCTACAGGACACAGGACACAGGATACTCAAGGCATACATAGGCCACAGGCTACAAGACAGAGAATGAAGGCTACATGATGCTTGATGAAGGACACAGGAAACAAGACACAGGACACAGGCTATATGACAGAGGACACAGGACACAGGTCAAAGGCCGCACGACATACTCCACAGGCTACAGGAGCCGGGCTGCAGGACACAGGATACACAACATAGGACACAGGGCACAGATTACAGGACACTGGTTAAAGGATGCAGACTACAGGACACATGACACAGGATGCAGGACACAGGACACAGGCTACAGGACACAGACTGAAGGAAAGAGGGAACAAGACACAGGACACCAGCTATAGGACAGAGGCCACAGGAGACACGACAAAGGCTGCAGGGTAAAGGCCACTGGCTACAGGACATAGGACAAAGAATTTAGGACAAAGGACACATGATACAGGATATAGGCCACAGGACATAGGCCACAGACTGCAGGACACAGGCTGCATGACATAGGACAAAGGCCAAGGTCACAGGACACCTGCCACAGGACCTAGGCCCCAGAGCTCAGAGAACAGGCTACAGGACACAGGACACACACTACAGGACATTGTCCACAGGCTATAAGAAATGGGCTTCAGGACACAGGACACAGACTACAGCAAAGAGGACACCAGCACTAGGACAAAAACTACAGGCCACAGGCTCAGGACACAGGACACAGGCTAGGGGACACAGGACACCAGCTAGAGGATAGAGGCCACAAGATTCAGGATGTGTACATAGGCCACAGGCTACAAGACACAGGACACAGGCTTCACAACATAGGACACAGGACACAGGACAGAGGCTATGGGACACAGGACAGAGCTACAGAACACAGGATGCAGGCCACAGGCTACACGACACAGGGCATAGGCTACACGACACAGGCTGAAGGAAGAGGGAACAAGACACAGAACACTGGCTATAGGACAGAGTGTCATGTAGCCTGTGTCTTGTAGCCACTGTCCTGTGGCCTGTGTCCTAGATTGTGGAGCCTGTGTCCTGTAGCCTCTGTCCTGTGTCCTATAGATGTCGCCTATGCCCTGTGTCCTGCAACCTGTGTCCCGTAGCCTGTGTCCTGTAGCCTGTGTCCTGGGTTCCATATTCTGTGTCATATATCCTGTGTCCTGTGTCATCTGGGATATATCCTGTATCTTGTAGCCTGTGGACTCTGTCCTGTAGCCTGTGGCTCTGTCCTGTAGCCTGTGTCCTGTATGCTGTGGCCTCTTCCTGTAGCCTGTGTCCTGTGACTTGTCACAGACTACTACACAATACACAGGATATAGGACCCAGAACACAGGATATAAGACACAGGATACAGGACTCAAGACACAGGACATAGGCCACAGGACACAGGCTACAGCACAGAGGCCACAGGCTACAGGACACAGGACATAGCACAGACGACACAGGACATAGGACACAGAATACCGAACACAGAACACAGGCTACTGCACACAGGTTGCAGGCTACAGGATATAGTCCACAGGCTACGGGAACAGGTTACAGGCTGCAGGAGACAGGACAAAGGCTAAACAACATAGACAGAGGACACAGGCTACAAGACACAGGGACAGGCTACAGGACTCAGGATACAGGACACAGGACCCAGGTTACATGAGCAGGCTAAAGGACGAGGACACTGGCTACTGGGCACAGCACAGAGGCCAAAGTGTACAGCACACTGGCCACAGGACAAAGGCCAGAGCTGCAGGATATACGACACAGACTACAGAGCACAGGACACAGGGTTGAGGACATGAACACAGGCTGCAGCACACAGGCTACAGGACACAGGCTACACAAGATAGAACACAAGCTACAGCATTCAGGGCATAAGCCAGAGGATATAGGACACAGGATACAGGACACAGAGCACAGAACCCAGGACACAGGCTAGAACACAGGCTACGGGACATAGGTTACACACTATAGGCCACAGTAGTTAGAACACAGGATACAAGACATAGGACACAGGACACAGGAGGCAGGACAGAGGCTACAGACCACAGGACACAGGATACTCAAGGCATACATAGGCCACAGGCTACAAGAGAGAGGACGCAGGCTATATGACACAGGCTGCAGGACACAGGAAACAAGACACAGGACACAGGCTATATGACAGAGGACACAGGACACAGGTCAAAGGCTACAGGACATAGTCCACAGGCTACAGGAGCCAGGCTACAGGACACAGGATACACAACATAGGACACAGGCCACAGATTAAGGACACTGGTTAAAGGATACAGACTACAGGCTACAGGACACAGCATACTCGACACAGGACACAAGCTACACGACACAAGCTGAAAGAAATAGGGAACAAGACACAGGACACCAGCTATAGGACAGAGGCCACAGCACAAAGGCTACAGGGTAAAGGCCATAGGCTACAGGATATAGGCCACAGGACATAGGCCATAGATTACAGGACACAGGCTACATGACATAGGACAAATGTCACAGGATACAGGTTACAGGACATAGGCCCCAGAGCTCAGAGAACAGGCTACAGAACACAGGACACACACTACAGGACATTGTCCACAGGCTATAAGAAACGGGCTTCAGGACACAGGACACAGACTACAGCAAAGAGGACACCAGCACTAGGACAAAAACTACAGGCCACAGGCTCAGGACACAGGACACAGGCTAGGGGACACAGGACACCAGCTAGAGGACAGAGGCCACAAGATTCAGGATGTGTACATAGGCCACAGGCTACAAGACACAGGACACAGGCTTCACAACATAGGACACAGGACACAGGACAGAGGCTCAGGACAGAGGCTATGGGACACAGGACAGAGCTACAGAACACAGGATACAGGCCACAGGCTACACGACACAGGGCAGAGGCTACACGACACAGGCTGAAGGAAAGAGTGAACAAGACACCAGACACTGGCTATAGGACAGAGTGTCCTGTAGCCTGTGTCCTATAGCCACTGTCCTGTGGCCTCTGTCCTGTGTCCTGTGTCCTGTGTCCTAGAGCCTGTGTCCTGTGCCCTGTAGCTTATCACCTATGTCCTGTGTCCTGCAACCTGTGTCCCATAGCCTGTGTCCTGTAGCCTGTGTCCTGGGTTCCATATTCTGTGTCCTATATCCTGTGTCCTGTGTCGTCTGGGCTATGGCCTGTGTCCTGTAGCCTGTGTCCTGTGTCCTCTGTCCTGTCTCCTGTAGCCTTTGGCCTATGTCCTGTAGCCTGTGGCCTCTGTCCTGTAGCCTGTGGCCACTGTCCTGTGACTTAATGTCACAGACTACCGGACACAATACACAGGCTACAGGACCCAGAACACTGACCTAAGACACAGGCTACAGGATTCAAGGCACAGGACATAGGCCACAGGACACAGGCTACAGCACAGAGGCCACAGGCTACAGGACACAGGACATAGCCCAGACTGCATAGGACACAGGATATAGGACACAGAATACCAAACACAGGACACAGGATACTAAATGCATACATAGGCCACAGGCTACAACATAGAGGACGCAGTCTACATGACACAGGCTGAAGGACACAGGAAACAGGACACAGGACGCAGGACAGAGGCTACAGGAAACAAGACATAGGACATAGGCGAAAGGACATAGTCTAAAGGACAAAGGATAAAGGCCAGTGCGTGCTCTCCTCCTCACCCACCACTGGTTGAGCTGACACTTTCTTGTTGAGAAAAATAAAGCAGAGGAAAAGAAATAATATTGTGGGAAACCGAACCTTTTATTCTGTAACAGGGTTAGCTGCAGAAAGGTCTCTGGACCTTGGACCTACAGGACACAAGACATAGGACATACGCGAAAGGACACAGTCTATAGGACAAAGGACAAAGGTCACTTCATGCTCACAGCCTCACTGTTCAGACCTCACCAAGCCATGAGCAATGTTTCCAAATCAAAGCAGATATTGTCCAAGGTCCAGAGACCTTTCTGGATCTCACCCTGTTATAGAATAAAAGGTTCGGTTCCCCGCAATATTATCTCTTTTCCTCTGTTTTATTTTTCTCAACAAGAAAGTGTCAGGTCAACCCTGGAGGGTGAGGAGGAGAGCAGGCACTGGCCTTGGAGGGCAAGGAGGGGACTGGGGCCAAGGCCCTGGAGGGTGAGGAGGGTAGCGGGGTCTGGCCCTAGAGGGCATTGAGGGGAGTGGGGCTGGGCCATGGATGGCAGTGTGGGGAGGGGAGTCCAATACTGGAGGTCTAGGAGTGGAGCAGGAACCAGCCCTAGAGGGCGTTGAGGGGAGTTGGGCTAGGCAATGGATGGCAGCGTGGGGAGTGGAGTCCAATCCCTGGAGGTCTAGGAGTGGAGCAGGAACCAGCCCTGGAGGGTGTTGAGGGAAGTGGGGTCCGGCCCTGGAAGGCCAGGAGGGGAAGCATGGTCCAGCCCTGGAGGGCAGCGAGCAGAGCATGCACAGGCCCTGGAGGGCAAGGAGGGGAGCAGTGTCCGGCCCTGGGGGCCCTGGAGAGTAGTGTGGGTGGCAGGGCCAATGCCCTGAAGGGAGAGAATTGAAGTGGAGACCATGTGCTGGAGGGCAAGGAGGGGTGTGGGGTACAGGCCCTGGGGAGTGAGGATTGGAGTGGAGCCCAGACCCTGGAGGTCTAGGAGTAGAGCAGGGTCTGGCCCTAAAGGGTGTTGAGGGCAGTGGGGCCCTTCCCTGGAGGGATGCGATGGGAGGGGGCCCAGGCCCTGGAGGGATGCGATAGGAGGGGGCCCAGGCCCTGGAGGGTAAGGAGAGAGCGGTGCCCAGGCCCTGGAGGGTGAGGAGGAGATCGGTGTCCTGCTCTGTAGGGCTTTGAGAAGAGCAGGGCCCGGCCCTGGGGGGCAAAAAGGGGAGCAGGGCTAGGCCCAGGAGGACGAGGAGTGGAGCAGGGTCCAGCCCTATAGGGCATTGAGGGTAGTGGGGCCTGGCCCTGGAGGGCTGGGATGGTAGGGGGTCCCATGCTCTGGAAGGGGGGGAGGGGAGTGTGGCCAAGGCTCCCAGATGAGGGCCAGGATGCCTGGGTCCTGGTGAGCCTGCTGTGTCACAACCTCATCCCGGTGAGAAGGGGCAGAGGCAGACGTGGTGGTCGGCCAGCCCATGAATGGGGACTGCAGACGCCACCCTGGGAAGAGTCGGGAGCAGGTGCAGGGCTGCACCCTTGCTACCTGGGTGGGGGGGATGGCCGGTTTCCTGAGAGTGACCCCAGCAGGTGCCATGTGGAACCCTGATGCCATACGGAGTGTCCTGTGTGTGTGTGATTGCAGGGGGTGGTTTTGTTTTTTAGCTTCATTTTTATTTATTGGAAAGAGTGAAAGAGATAGCTCCGTTCACTGGCTCACTCCCAAACACCCACAACAGCTGGGAGCTGGGAGCTCCACCTGGTCTGGGGTGGGAGGCAGGGACATGAGGACTTGAGGCCCCGCCTCGGGCCCTGCTGTGACTCAGAAAACATCGCCTTCCACCCCGCTCTGAGCTGGCTGCCTGGGAGGTGCATGTGGATCTTGCCTTCAGTGGTCGTCTGCCCAGGCCTTAAGGAAGGCCCCGCGGTCCCTGTCTGGGCTTCTCTTAGGCTAACCAGGTTTCCCAGAGGTGTTCTACCCCTGCCTGGGGTCTGGCCCCCGGGAGCTCAGTGCAGAGGGTGGCAGTGAGCTCGGTGGCCGCGGTGAGCTGTCCCCTGCACTGCACTCTCAGGACACGACAGCCCTGAGCTCACCACTGCCCCTGCACTGTGCTCCACCACGGCCCCCAGCCCACCATGGCCCCCTGCACTGTGCTCCACCACGGCCCCAGCACTGTGCTCCACCACGGCCCCAGCACTGTGCTCCACCAAGGCCCCCAGCACTGTGCTCCACCACAGCCCCCAGCTCACCACTGCCCAAGCACTGTGCTCCACCACGGCCCCCAGCTCACCACTGCCCCTGTACTGATCTCCACCACAGCCCCCAACTCACCACTGCCCCAGCACTTTGCTCCACCACGGCCTTCAGCTCACCACTGCCCCTGTACTGATCTCCACCACAGCCCCCAACTCACCACTGCCCCAGCACTGTGCTCCACCTCAGCCCCCAGCACTGTGTTCCTCCACAGCCCCCAGCACTGTGCTCCACCACAGCCCCTTGCTCACCACAGCCCCCAGCACTGTGCTCCACCACAGCCCCTTGCTCACCACAGCCCCCAGCACTGTGCTCCACCACAGCCCCTTGCTCACCACAGCCCCCAGCACTGTGCTCCACCATGACCCCCACTCATCATGGCCCCTGCACTGTGCTCCACCACAGCCCCCAGCTCACCACTGCCCCTGCACTGTTCTCTACCATGGCCCCCAGCTCACCACTGCCCCAGCACTGTGCTCCACCATGGCCCGCAGCTCACCACTGCCCCAGCACTGTGCTCCACCACATCCCCCAGCTCACCACAGCCCCAGCACTGTGCTCCACCACAGCCCCCAGCTCACCACTGCCCCAGCACTGTGCTCCACCACAGCCCCCAGCTCACCACTGCCCCAGCACTGTGCTCCTCCACAGCCCCCAGCTCACCATGGCCCCCAGCACTGAGCTCCTCCACAGCCCCCAGCTCACCACCTTCCCCAGCACTGTGCTCCACCACAGCCCCCAGCTCACCACTGCCCCAGCACTGTGCTCCACCACAGCCCCCAGCACTGTGCTCTCAGGACACCACTGTCCCTTGTGCTATGCTCTCACGACATCACAGTCCCCAAGCCCCCAGCTCACCACTGCCTACTACACTCATCTATTACGCCCTCTCCTGCTGCCTGCAGGAAGTCTTCTGGCACTGGAGAGACTCCTGGTCTGTTTCCTTTTAAGATTGATCGTGGACCAGCGCTGCGGCTCACTAGGCTAATCCTCCGCCTGCGGTGCCGGCACCCTGGGTTCTAGTCCCAGTTGGGGCGCCGGATTCTGTCCTGGTTATCCCTCTTCCAGGCCAGCTCTCTGCTGTGTCCCGGGAGAGCAGTGGAGGATGGCCCAGGTGCTTGGGCCCTGCACCCGCATGGGAGACCAGGAGAGGCACCTGACTCCTGGCTTCAGATCGCCACAGGGCGCCTTTGGTAGCAGCCATTTGGGGGGTGAACCAATGGAAAAGGAAGACCTTTCTCTTTGTCTCTCTCTCTCTGCCTAACTCTGTCTGTCTAAAAAGATTTATTGTGTTATTTGGAAGCGTTTCAGAGAGGGAGAGACAAACAGAGAGAGCTTCCATCCACTGGTTCACTCTCCAGATGGCCCCAGCAGCTGGGGCTGGGCCAAGCCAAAGCCAGGAGTTCCATCCAGCTCTCCATGTGGGTGCAGGGGCCCCAGCTCTTGGGCATCTTCCCGTGCTTTCCCGGGCTATCAGCAGGGAGCTGGAGCAGAGGTGGAGCAGCCAGGACCTGAACCAGCTACCACAGGATTCAGGATGCACAGGTTGCAGCCTCACTGCTGGGCCCAACCCTGGCCCGTGGAGCTATTTATTTATTTATATTTCATTGGAAGAGTTGGGGGGAGAGAGAGAGAGAGAGAGAGAGAGAGAGAATGAATCTTCATCTGCTGGTTCACTCCCCGGTTGGCCACAATAGCTGGAGCTGGGCTGATATGAGGCCAGGGAGGGGCCGGAGGCTTCCTCCAGGTCTCCCGTGCGGGTGCAGGGGCCCAAGGACTTGGGCCATCTTCCGCTGCTTTCCCGGGTTGTAGCCAGGAGCCGGATCGTAGGTGGAGCAGCCGGGACTCGAGCTGGCCTCTGGATGGGATGCCGGGACTGTAGGCGGTGGCTTTACCCACTATGCCTGCTGGTGCTGGCCTCAGGAGTGGTTACTTAGACTTGAGACCTGTTGGAGCAGCTCCTCTGCCTAGAGCTTCCACAGTGACCTCCGTGGCCTTCCTGCCCCTCACAGCTTGACCTTGACCTGCCGTCCACTGTCACTCACCCATGAGCCTCTTAGCTTCTGAGGCATCAGAGCTGCGTGCTTTCCGTTCTTGGCCTTGAGGGTTTATCCTTTCTCCGGAAGTTTCTTTGATGCTGCTGTGATGCTATTTTAGGAGCAGTGTGTGTGTTTGGGTCACCCCCTCCAGCCAGGCGTCTGGGGAGACATACTGGAGCTGCTTTTTGTGGGTTGCGTGTCTGTGGTGTCCCCAGGACACCAGCTGGGTGGGCTGAGCCCCGTGCCCGCCCCTGGGCCCTGCGATTTTTTTGCATGTTCCCTCTGGGCTGATTGCTGCTCGGGGGTGGGGCCTTGCCATGCCAGGCTCACCAGCACGGGCCTTGGGAGCTGCCAGCTGCAAAGAGCTTTTCTGGGGCAGGCACTGGCCTGTGGGTGCGGTGCCGGTTAGGACACTCGTGTCCCATGTCAGGGGACCTGGGTCCTCCTGGCTCTGCCTCCCGATTCCAGCTTCCTGCTAGTGCAGACCCTGGGCTGCATCAAGTCCCCAGCCCAGTGCGTGCCATCGTGGACACATGGAGAAGGGTAGAAGAGCGCCCCCCCACATCAAACATTTAAAAGATCCTTTTTCCCTAAGGAGTTGGCCATCTGGCTGACGTGAGATCTGTGAAGTCTCATGTTTCAGGGTCCAGCTTGGGCTAAAACCACCAAGCCCCACTGTCTGCCACACACAGCCTGATCCCTGCTGCACACCCCCAGGATGGGGCTGCCCCCCCCCAGCCCTGTGCCCTCCTGTGCACCCCCAGCTCAGCCCTGTCCCCTCTGTACCCCCAGCTCAGCCCTGTCCCCTCTGTACCCCCAGCTCAGCCCTGTCCCCTCTACACCCCCAGCTCAGCCCTGTCCTCTCCTGTGTACCCGAGCTCAGCCCTGTCCCCTCGTGTGCACCCCAGCTCAGCCCTGTCCCCTCTGCACCCCCAGCTCAG